GATGCAGACAGCTGTGTAAATCTCATTTTCTAGTGTGTTGTCTTGACAGTTATGATGTTGTAAGAACATGCTGCAGAAAATTGATAGAGGAGGTATGGTGCCCTTGATGTCTCTTCCCTCTACGCAAACACCACCCGTTGCCATCGGATCTATAGCATCCGCCAAGCTGCAACCCTGAATTTCAATTGGATTTAGGAGCAACTGGCAGTGACTGTCCTGAAAGTACCCCCAACGCCTCTAAGCTAAGCATTACTGTCGCACTCGGCACTCGTTTCTTCTATCCCTGTCCGCCAGCTGTGCAGCAACAATGGGGCTGGACGAAGTCTTAGCATTTACTCTGTTTCTGTAAACTCGTATGGTCTTGTGGCATTTCACCACAACTGCTTGGCTTGTATCAACGGTGCCTGATATCCCAGGGCGGGATATTCCAGTTCCTTGGTGATGGCTACGGTTGTCTGCGGATCCACGCTATGAGCAGAAACCGCTCTGAGATGGCACCGAGTCATATTGCGTAATGCAAACTAGTCGCATAACTACTCGAAGCCATGGTTGACTTGGGTGGGATTTGATCTGGCATTTCCAGATGCGAGCAGGTGTGCATCTTCTGGCTCACACGGTCTCTCTCGTCCTGTCCTCGATGTTCTGCTTTCAGTGTTTGTTTGGAAAGTAGAAGGCCGGCATGCAGTGGTTTTCCTCCTGCAAATGCAATTTTAAAATTGATTTGAAGTGAAATTGCATCTTTTATTGGACTGGTCTGTGACCTTTCAGTGTTGGAGCTAGTGTAGTGCCAGTCTTTCGGGCTATTGTATGTGACAGGAGAGGGGTGGGGGGTGGCTGCAAAGGATAAGTGAAACCCTTTGCTTCTCTCTCGATGCCTGCTGCTGCGTTTGAAGTCTGCCCTGAGCACTGCATCATATTTTGCACTTAATCCTCCACCAAGGATCTCGATACTTTCTATAAATAATGACTAATCTATTTAATTATACCCCTGTGAGAGAGAGGAGGGAAATAGATCATTTCACTTGTTTCAGTTCTGCTCTGGATAAATGAAGGACAGATACGGTACATCGAAGCAAATATTCTAAGATTATCCAAGACTATATGCTAGGAACTATAGATGCAATGAATCCTACTTCCATATTAATGAATAAGGCAGTCATGTTGAATCCTGTAGGCTACTATTAGGTTATTCCTGCATTGCTTCCCTTTTTTATAAGCTCATATGCTTGCATGTGTGTGCCTATGTGTGCACACATGCATGTATATCAGTCTCTGAAGCTCTCATCCCATTTGCAGCCCTGCAGTACGGATTTGCTGCGTTGCACGATGTCCAACTTTGTTCTGTATCGCACATGCCACCAAATAGGCTGTATCGGTATAGATTATATATTTAGCCTACTGTTGTGTGGGTGACTTTGTCTCAAAATCAAATTGTATTCATTGGAGACATCCCTTTAATTAACTTCCCCAATTCCATAGGGAGAGGGATATGAAGAAAGATTGTACTAACAGCAATAATAATAATAATAACAGCGACATATCTTATTACTTGGTATATATTAAAGTAAAATAAAATGCTGCAGGAGGTGGAATTCCAAGACCTCTGTTTTTAATGAAGATCTTAATAACATCTAATGTAAATTAAATATAATCACAGTCTGGTTTCTGAACATGTCTCTGAGGCTGAAGCATAGTAAGTTAATTATGCTGACAACACAGCAGCAAGTACAGAAGTCAAGTAGCAACATGTTGGTAACTGAGTTGAAGATGGAAAAAGGATCCATTTTTGTTTTCTTTTTCTTTTCTTTCCTTTTTTCCGCCCTTCCCTTTTTCTTTTTCTTTTTTTTTTCCATTTTGCCGTGGCTTTTTCTTCCCCGAGGCAGATAAGTGAAGGATGGTATCCAAGTGAATAGTTGATGTACGGCACTCATTTATTATATAATGTGCATTAAATCACATTTGCATTGGAATTTGAACCAAGAGAGATTTTACTTAAGAAAATGGGGAGAAATGAATGCAGAAAGATGGCAAGGCATTTTATCATGTGGATATGGATTGCTGACATTGATCTTTCCAGCTCGTTCTGTGGCTAGATCATATAATGAGGTAAGAAAGAAAGAAAAGATGGACTGGGCATCAACTTGTATTCTGTGTTTTGTATTATGTTAAAAGGAATTGCTTGTCACAAGGCTCAATCTTTGAACTGTTACTCATGAAGTCCTGCACTCAGCCGGATGACTCATGTGAGGAAGGACAGTGGGATCAGTCTATTAAGTCGGCATCCCTGTGACGATGACCGAGAGCGACGTCCCCAGGTCCGTGCCCTGCCGTGACCTTTCCGAACACCTTGCATTTGGTAGGAGGTGATACTAATGTGAAGGAATCCATCAGCCAATGCAATAGAACCTGGAAGTGCAAATAAATGAAGATACCTTTATTTAGCTAAAAGGAACAGAGAGTAACCAAATCTGTGACTCAACCAAGTCATTAAATACCTGCCTGTTTCTTAGGCTGTTTTTAATTTGTTTGGCCTTTGTGGTGATAAAGGAGTTTCTTCTTCTGCATAGTCTGACTCGGTCTTTATCGTGCATCTGAAGTGCCGCTCGATGGCTCCAGAGATTCTGTCTCCATGGTACGCTAAGTTTTCATTTATAGGGTTGTTAGGTGCAATACATAAAATCACCATGTTTTTTATTACAGACAGCTGTCCCACCTGTGCTAGCTAGTTGGAAATCTTGGAGTTTTTGCTATAAGCAGATGGAGACTGCAGAGGTTTGCTGCGGAGGTGAATGCAGCAGCCAGTTCTGCATGTGGCACCACGTGCCTGTGGCTCGGTGTAGCCCGTGCCTGCGGTCGGATCGCTGTTACCATCCCTGCGGTGTTGATAGGCACGTGTGTGTACTCTTGGACGATACGACAGGCCTATAAAAGGAGCGGGCTAACTGGCAGAGGACTGAAAAGACTCGGGAATGTGGGCTGAAAATTGACAGTCAGCAAAAAGGTACTCGAGCAGGCCTAAAGAGCAGGCAGGAAAAAAAGCAGAACTTACAGGAGAGTCAAGGAGGCAGCACTCCTCCATCAGCCAAGCCCAGGAAGAGGATGCAGGAGTGGGAAGGCAAACTGCCTTGATTACAAGTGAAGAAGCACCAGGAGGAAGATTGCTGCTTACTCTGGAGACATCTTTGTCCCTGGAAAGACTTTTCTTGCAAGGGAGCAGGGGAGGAGGAAGGCAACTGCATTTTTTTCCAAGCAGATGCTAAAAGGGCTCATGTGAGTCTTTGGAAGAGCGCAGCCCTTGTCAAGGCCTGTGATACAATGGCAGGATGGGATTGTGGTTGCAGAACAAGAGTATTAGTCAGATGGTGGCATCAAAGTGCCCCGTTATGCATGAGCCTCTGAGACGGAGGGGCCCGTGTGTGCTGTTTTAACTTTAAATACAAACTACCATCCATTGATGCCAGGACCAGCTTATTCGGTGAAACGGTTGCCTATTAAGTGATTCTCTGTCATGAGCTCCCTCTCTGTGCCACGGATGTAATACAGACTGCATTTCCAAAGTGGCGAGAGCATTGCTTTCTCCAGATGTTTTGGGAACCTCTGCTACTTCTCTTCAAACACCACCACATTTTTTTCCTCTTTGCTTTAAGCCAGATAGAGAATAGGGAGGTTTGTATTTGTGCAGGGAATAGTTTGACTTGGTAATGACTTCTAAAGTTGTCTGCTGATGTGCCGCGCATGGGCTCAGGCAGTTTCCCAATATTTCTAGGATGTTAAATAACTTGTAAGTGATGGACACCTGTTTCTTTTAAGAGTCATCCTATCTACATATAATTGATGCACTTGGTTTGCATGCTTCTGCCCAGCTTTTTAACAAACGTCATCCTTCCAGCAGGGATGTGCAGTGTGATGAGTTGGGAATTCACATCTCCCTGATGGAAGGCATGGTGCACTTAGATGGTGGCAAGTTCAGACCTAGACCTTCACCAGAGCTTCCCGGGTTGGGCCGGGCTGCTCTGCTCTCGGCATAGATGGCTTTCCCATGATCTGAGCCATCACTGTAGGCATCCTGCCTCTGCTTAGTGTGGCACCGAGCACGTTGTCGATCCTCAGCACCTCAAAACATAAGCCTGAAATCTGGCCCAAGAGACAAATGCACACGGTGCACCCGAGGGAGGATTCTTGCTTCCTGCTAGCCAGATCAGCTGCCTTTTATGAGCATTATGCCTTGCCACTGCTACTGCCCATTTAGCGTTAAACCACTGCTAAGGCAGGGATAGCAGGGAGTGGATGACGCTAAGTTTTGAGCGCTGATTTGCCCTGCTCACCATCTGCAGCCTACTACATAATCTGATCTTCTAAGTCCTCTCTCTCCCTGTCGGTCTCAAGTGTCAGCAAGGGAAGTAAAGGTTAGATATTTGGGGAAAAAATGTCTCCCTAGGAGGGTAGTCAAGCACTGAAACAGGTTACCCAGAGAGGTGGTGTCATCTCCATCCTTGCAGGTGTTTAAGACCCAGCTCATCCAAGCCTTGTCTGCGGCGATGTAGTTGGGGCTGTTCCTGCTTGGAGCAGGGGGGTGTGACCTCTTGAAGTCCCTTAAACCTCATTTTTTACAACTCTGTGTTACTTTTCCTTTTTTTTCCTTTTTCTTGTGGCCTCCCCTTTTCCCTGGTGACCGCTGTTCCCTTTGTCTCTCTCCACGCCTGAATGCCACCATTGATTATCTGTGTGCCGTTCTTTATTAAAACAGAGATCCAAGCCCGTTTTGTCTACCTGACAACCACAGTGACCTTTCAGCCGCAACCCCTCCAGCATTTACTGGTTCCTACTTTGTGCTGCTCCTGCTAATGCTGAGCGCGCCCACCCCCTCCGCATCCCATATCTCTTCCATCACCGTAGTTGGTATTTTTTTGCTGTTTGTTTATAACTTCTGTGTGGCAAAAGTGAAATGGGTGGCTCATTATATATATATATATTTATATATATATTTTCCCCCCCTACAGGCATGAGACTCAGCAGGAGACCAATAAAACCATCACTACCAGCACCAAAGCTATCAAGCAGCTGTCTGAGGTTGTCAGAGGCTCATCCAGGGTATGTGCCCTTTGAGATGCCGTCTAGAGTGAAAGTTGGGTTTGTAAAAGCAAGTGCTCTAAAGCTGCTGAGCTCAGCGTCTCTCTAATTTCCTTCATTCTGTTACAATGGCAGTATTCAACCGCGTGCTGCCTCTGCAAATTGGCAAAGCAGATGCCGGGACCACTTTAGTCGAGGGGGGTGGGGGGGAATGCTTTCTCCTGAGGTTAATTCCATGAGATCCAACCTACAGTATAGTGAAATCCCCGCTCTGTCGTAGCAAATGTTTAAGTTCAACAAGCAGCCTGGAACGAGCAGGTGAAAGCACCACAGAAATCTGTAGGCGATCTGGGGAATATAATATCCATTGAACAGTCAAGTAGTACATCGGTTACAAATGAGTAAAAAATCAGGTGAAAACACACCTAAGTGGCCAAGCAGTGTAATTCATGTGGATGTGGAATTCATTCGGCGCCACATGCGGGTCATTTCAATACTGAGAGGCAGAAATGGAGGGAGGCAATTGCAGGATGGGGAAAGTTACAGCAAGGACATTGCTATTATTATATATATAACAGCAGGTTCAGCTTTTGTCTGGGGCAAAGCCTCCTCCTAATGTGTGCAGGTGCAGTTCCTGTTGACTTCAGCCAAATACATTTGAATTGCACCCCCGCTGACTGCTGAGCAGGTTTTAATAATTGCCTGTTTTTCTCCCATGTCTGATCAATTTGCTTCGCGTATGTAACCTGGTACCCCGAATCCTACCGCGGACCAAGATTATCATGTCTGGAGAAGAGCAGACTGAGGGGAGACTTGAGAGCAGTCTTCAAATACCTGATGGGCGCTGGGAGAAAGGATGGGGGTGGGCTTTTCTCCATGACCATATGGGCAGGACTAGGCGTAATGGCCTTAAGCTACATCAGAGACAATTTTAGGGTAGTGATTGGGACTTTCTGACTATGAGAAGCAAGGCTGCCTAGAGAGGTTACAGTAGCTTGATCCCTGGAAATTTTCAAGAGCAGGTTGGATTGACCCTTGGCTGGGACGGTCGAGTCAGGGCTGATCCTGCCTTGAGCAGCGGGCTGGGCTACGTGACTTGAGATAAGTTGCATAAAGAAGGCTGTCTCCAAGTAGCCCTTCACAGCCCAAAGCTGTGTCAGTGTGAGACGTTACATCGTGTCGTAGAGAAACATACTTGCTGTTTCTTCTCCCTTTTCTGTGTTTAAACAGTAGTAAAACATCAATTCATAAATAAATTAAAAAAGTGGAGGTAGCGGCAAAGGGAAAGTCTAGTGAAGGCTACGGCAGTCTTGCAGAGTCAATGAACAGAAGAGGTGTTTGAATGATCAACTCAAAGCCAAAAGAAATAAATCAAAAGATAGCTCATGGCTTTATAGAGATGTGATGACCTGGCCGTTTCTCCACATCCCCCGGTTATTTCATGCAACACAAATTGGGTCCAAAGGGAAGTCAAATAAGGCTAGGTGGAAAGTAATTATTGCCTTACCCTTGGATGTTGTTCTCAGCTTTAGCAAAGTTGAGTAGAGGCTGTGATCAGAATGGGTTTCACTGTAGGAGAGAGAAGAGGTTTTGTTTTTTTTGGGTTTTTTTAATAAATACAGTACATTTAAAAGCAGAAGGGAGAAGAAGATGCAAACATTTATGATAATCTGAGAAATGAACTTGCAGCTCTCTTTTTGATGTCACATAACTTCTCCCACTCTACGGTCAGTCAATTTAACAGGGGGGGGGGGAGTTGTTTTTTGGGGATTTTTTTGTTTGTTTTGTTTTTTACTTTATAACAGTGTATAGCTTAAATAATTAAACCTACAGATTTTGATGTAAAATCTGTAGCCTTTCTCCCTTCTAAAATGAATGACTCAGATGGGTATTTGTGGCTGAGTTTCTAAGTCGCTCTGGGGGCTCAGGGGATAGTGTTCACATCAAGTTTCCTGTACCATGAGAAACCTTCCATTGATTTAAAGCTTTATATCCAGTCCCTTCCAATCCATTATTCTATGTTCTGCTGTATACAAAAAAGGAGATGTTTTTCCTTTCCCACAATGATGTACAGCTAGCCAGGTGCATTATGGGATTTTTACCTGTCTTGCATTGAAGCATCAGGTGTCTGCTAGAATGTTTGGAGTTGGGATGCGCAACCAAATAAATTAATAACATGCCTGGAACAAAGGCACTGGCATGAGAAGAGGCAGAGTCTTAGCTCACATGGACTCACATAGCAAGGCTGACTCTCGAACTAGCATTAAGGTCTTGCACAGCAAAGCCTTTGCATAATACAAAGCCAGTCTTACATTCTTCAAGGGTTTGTGTAGTAGCGAAGGTGAGGTTTGAATAGTCCCGTGATGGGGAGCCTAAAGCAGGGACCACGTATTGATTTGTGTGCGTAATGCAGTACCAAAAGTAGTGGAGCTTTACGTATAAAATGGTAATGGGAGTATAGGAAATCAGAGAAAAGTAGGACTGGAAGAGACCCCCCGAAAGTCTTCTTGCCTAACCCTCTACTCCACGCAGGATCACCCTTGTCTGAACTGACCCATACACGTGTTTGCCTAATCTGCCTTTAGGGACTTCCAGTGACACAAAGTCCACACCCTCTCTCGGTAATCCATCCCAGTGCCTAACTGGGTTTCTACCCTCGTATATCTACCCTTAATCTCCCTTCTTGCAGTATCATCCCATGCCCCTTGTAGACACGGAAAACGATTGACCTCCATCCTGTTTATAACGACCCTTTTCTGTATCTGAAGGCTGTTCTCAAAGCCTCCCTCAGTCTTTTCTTCTCCAAACTAAATACAGGCAAGCATGCTAATGATCTGATGCTTTGTAGATAATAAACCTGGCCGAGCTTTTGCAGAGGTAAGAACTGACCACAAGCTCACCCCCCTTACATAGCATGTTTTCTAGACTTAGCATTTTTGTTGCCCTCCTGGATCTCTACAAATATTTCATGTCTGTCTTGGAAGTGCAGAGGTATTGCAGAGAGGTATCCGTTGTGCCTGACTCCAGGCTAACATGTATGCCAGGAGGATAAGTTAGGTCTGGGACAGACTTTCATAAACTGGTTTGACTTAAATCAGTTCAGTCTGATACTACATGCAGCCATATTTATCTTAAACCCGTTTCAGCCCTTTTTGGAAGTGGTTGATGTGCACTGAACTTCTGGTCTGTTCCAGGTTTAAACTGATCTCTGATCACTTAAACCGGTTTGTGTGTAACTTCTGTCCCCAGCCATCGAGACTAACTGGCTCTGCAGAGAGGCATGAGATTTCAATGTGCTATGAACGGACTGGCCAGGTTGTTGGTGGTTGTCTCTTGCCTACAAAAGCTTCCCTGAACCAGTTAGTCTCTAAGGTGCCACCCTGCCTTCCCTTCTGACTTCCTTGAAATGAGTTACCTCAGACCAGTTATGACTTGAGATGGGGCCTCTTTGGCGCTGAATAGAGTAGAAAAGCCACTTTCTATAACTCGCCTATGACATCTGTTCGTACATCCCAACATACTATTCACTTTTCTATAACGATAATGTCTTATTGACTCCTATAGTCAGGAATCCGGTATATCATCAAGTCCTCTCTGTAGTCCTGTAGCCCAGTCGGTCATTTCCCGTTTTGCATTTGCGCGTGTGATGGTGTCCGGAGCGTAGCACTTTGCATTTTCCCTGATTGAATTTCATCTGATTTATTGTAGTGTTGTTCCTCCCTGTTCTCTCTTGGCCACTGCACTTCTCTGTGCATAAGCATGCTGTCAGCCTTTGCTGTTGGTGTTGGTATGTGGCGTGTGTGTTTCCTTGGAGACCTCGATGCCGCATAAAGAATTAACCACAAGGATGCATTTGTGGTCACTTCTTACCTCTGCAAAAGTTCAGCCAGGTTTATTACCTACAAAGCATCAGCTCATTAACACGCTTGTCCAGAGGGCTACGAGATGTTAGTTCTGAGTCCTTATGATAAGGCAAAGGCATAAATCCTAATTGCTTGTCACCCCCAAAGCCTCATGGAAAGTCCCAAAACATCGCAGTTCTTCTTATACCTGGATCAAGCAGTGCTGTTTACACCAGGTATTTATGTAACAATCCACATTGAATGACTAATCCTTAGATGTGTACAAGACTCTTTGATACCACCCTTATCCATCAACCTTAAGGATCCACTTAAACTCTCCTGCTATCTATCACCAGTGCCCCGGTGATGCCAGCCAGCTTTTGAGGCCTGCTTTGCTCAGTGCTTTTAGCAAAGTCTTTATAAAAAGCCCTCGGCACCGCAGGACCGGACTAGATGACCTTGTGAGGTCCCTTCCAGCTCTGCTTTCCTATGATGCTATATAAACTGGTCAGTGCTTATATTAATCAGTACTCCAGTCAGGCCTACATAGACCCTTTTTTTTTTTCTCTAATGCATCCTATTTTGAATCTTAATCCTGTTCTCCAGTGTGCCTGCTGCCCTACCTACCTTAGACTCATCCACAGATTTAATGAGGGGATGCTCAGTTCCACTGACTGAGTCATTAATGAATATATTGAACAGTACTGGATGCAGAGCAAGTCCCCGGGTGACTGGCACATCCTCCCAGTCTGACATTAAGTCATTAATGGCTTCTTTTTGAACATGATTATCCAACTAATAATGGACTCGCCCTTCAGTAATTTCATCTAGAACTTATTTCCTTATTTTCCTGATGAGAACATTGTGGGAGCCGGTGCCAAAAGCCTAACCGAAGTCAAGGCATGTCATATCTGATGCTTTCCCCATCCGCAAAGCTCATCAACTTGTCATAGAAGGGCATTAGGTTGGTTAGGTATGAGTTACTCCAGACAAAACCATGTAATATCATAGACAATGAGGGTGGGAAGGGACCTCAGGAGGTCACATCTAGTCCAACCCCCTGTGGGACCAGCCCCAACTACATCATCCTGGCCCAGCCTTTGCCTACCTGGGTCTTAAAAAGCTCGAAGGATGAAGATCGTTTCTTATCACATCGTAATACGTAAGGTGTTTATAAATCAAATGTTTGATGGTTTGTTCTAGTATCGTTTCCCTTCGAGGAAAAATAATTTGGTCTCATTCAACTTGAATGCAGGGGAGATGTAGCGAGGTGGGAGGAAACTCTACAACCTGCCGTTAGTTTGAGCAAAGCGTCCCCTGTACCTTGTCCTAAATTTGGTGAGCTCAGGCCTGTCTCCTGCTGGAATGAATTCCAGGAAGAAAACTTGCTGCCGAGCCTGCCCTCTTCCCCTGTACATTAATCAATGTTGAGAAACTTGGCCTCTAATAAGTTGGCCTCTCTCTTTGCCCACAAGCCAGGGAGAATGAATATTATTACTAAAGGCCCGATGAGCCTGGGCCTCGGAAGTGTAGAAAGCATCATTTGGATGAAAGGATTAAATTAATCATTTGATGTCATTTTAAATCAAGGCTATTGGATGGGAACGTATCCCCAGGATTACTACCTCCTGCTTTAAATATAGAACTGCGTTTGTATCTGTCTTGCCCTTTCTATTTAATAGTAGCAGGAGACCCAGCTACACGCAGGTTCTCTCCCTTTGGTGACATCTGTTCAATAGATTTGTTGTTGATTAAATAAATGCCTGGATTAAAAATTGTGGTTAGAAGTATTATGCAGTAATACACTTGCTTTTAGGTATGAAGTCTACCTGTAGCATTGCACCATCTTCTGTCTGTTTGTTGTATAATGACACGAAGAGAATGCTTTCTATGGCTGTATTTTTCTTCTAAGGTTCAGGCCAATTACCGCACTTTCCTAATAAAAATGGAATAGTATCATTAATAATAATAAAAATCTGGAGGTTTGTAACACGAACAGAAACTGTATTTCTTGAACGATGCCTCAACTTCAGCATCGGCAGGGTAATACCGTTTATTCTGGTCAAATCACAAAAGGGAAAAAGAAAGCTATTTTGGGGAAATTGCATTAAACTACATTAGGGGTTTTCAACCTCTGGCCAGTGGGCCAGATCCAGCACACGGTGCTGTGTCATCAGCCCACAGGGCTCCCCCAGGTCCTGAAATTTGGTGGTAAGGGAATGGTGCCAAATCTCTGGATCCATGCAGAGCCCCAGGACCTCTGTGCCGGATCTGGCACCTGATCCCAGGGTGCAGGGCCTTTGGTGGTCTGCAGATTGGGGAAGGGGCTGTGGCATGCAGGGGGCAGGAGGGGATGGGGCCGAACCCCCAGGACCTAATCCTGCTATGTGGACAGAGAGAATGGACAGTGCTAGGACCCCCAGGACCCAATCCTGGGACACACAAGATGAAAAAGGATGGTGCTGGGCCCTGAGGGCCCCAAACCTGGCGCACAGGTGGTGGGAGAAGGCAATGCCAGGCACCTAGGACCCGATTTGGCCTGCAGACGGGCTCCGTACCACTCATCCAGTCCATGAGGCCAACAAGTTGAGCACAACTGAACCGCATAGTCACCCCATAGTAGCGTTTGCGTGCTGCAGAGCAGGCGTGTGCTGAATACCTTATTCCACAAGTACCGGTGCAACGTGTCCCTTACTGTCTCAGTCTCATGCTGTCGGTCAGGCCGTCCATGAAACCAAATGGATCAACACAGGGGTTCTTTATTCAGGTTTTACCTTGTGCTTCCTCGAGCAAAGCTCCCATCGACATCAGAGGGAGTTTGCCTTAGGCTAGGTCCACGCTAGAAAAGGTTTCCCGGGTTTGCTATACCGGCAAGAAGCTCCCCTAGCATAGTCATCTCTTCTTGGGGCAAGAGATGTTCTGGTTTTTTGTTTTTCCTGATGCCGCTTCTCCAAGAGAAATACATGATTCCAGCAAAGGCAAAGACATCACCAAGTCCGCATGCCTCATGCGTATTACTGGACCACCAAAAGTTTCTATTGTTAGATCTGGCCTCAGTCTCTTAGGCCATGTAGTACAAACCCCACTTTGATGTGCACCGTAGAAAGTAGGGTTGGTTAAGTGAAGTCCTCTGGGTTGTTCCTTAGGTATTGTCTCTGGCATTTAGTCAGGTGTACTTCTGTGTCCAGCAGCAAAACTTCTGGCGCTTCCCCTGGAAGTATTTCTCACCAGGAGCCTGCATAATCTAAATGCAGCCGGTCCCGTTTGGCATGTGAATGGGAGACGACAGTGAATTTGTGGAAGCTAGGTGATGGCGGAGGCTTGTTCTCAGAGCTAGGTTTTAGGCAGTGTTTCAATAACATGCAAATGCATAAACTGGATTGCTGCTTAGTATTCAAGTGCACTCCATCGAAAAGGCAGAGACAAGTACTATCCATGTTTGTAGTGCAGTGGAGACCTAGTGAATCCCATTCCTCTTGTCCCTGCATTGGAGAGCTTACAGCCTGCCTAAACCAGACAGACACCTAGGGAACGGGAAGGGGTAGAAGAGTGGCAAAGTGACATGACCAAGGTCACTCGGTAGATCAGTGACAGGTGCTCGAACTTTTCAGCATCCTTTCCACGGCTTGTACAGCTACATGGGAATCTCCTGTAGTGCCAAGCACTGTAGTCGCCTACCCTTTTCAAAAAGCCTCTTCTCCAGTGCCAGGAGGGTGCCTGTGTAGGCCAGAAAACAGCTAGCCAAGTTTGTGTGTGACCTCAAAAAGAAGTATGCCATGGGGCCTTTATTATTCATTTTCATTATGCTAGGAACTAGAAGCCAGCCATGCACCTGCCCCTCATTTTCATGCATGTCGTGCAAGCCATGTCTCCAAAGTGAAGAAGTCTAAGTATAGATCCTCCGGTTATTAGGGTTTCATGTTTACTTTCGAGGTAGCTCCTTGGGAATTGGTTCAGCCAATTTGAGGATAATGTATCCCCCCTACTCAGCCACCAAGACGGCTTCCTGTAAGCCTTGCTAAATTGGTTACTGTTCAGATATTGAATAGGTCTAACGCTGCTGAGATCAGGCAGAACCACAGCCCAAGGGCAAACAGCTTCTACCTCCTGCAGTTTGCAAATGTTGATTTCTTTCTTTACTTTTGCCTTTTCGATACAGCAAGAGCGACTTCAGCTGGACAGGTTGAAGAACCAGCTGTCCGATGCCATCCAGCGATACGGAGCTGTACAAAAGGTAGGAGGACACTTAGTCTGCCTTTCCCTTTGTGATGTGTGCGCTTGGGAGGATGTTGACCAGGGCAACTGTGGGCGCTGTTTTTTATTGGAAGTGAAAGATTTGTGGATTTTTCTTGTTCTCATTTTATTTTTAGGAATCCCTCCCCCCCACACCCCATATAATTATTTCCACTGATAATTTATCTTCATTGCATGTGACAGTGAAAGTAGGCTGGTAAAAACCTATTTGGGTTTGTTTTTTTTTTTGTTTTGTTGGGTGTTTTTTAGAGCCACATTTGGGTTTTCAACATTGGGAGGTCGTGTCATATATATTATACCATATCAGATATCATATCATATTTCATCAAATCATATCCTTTAGTTTTCATTTCATTCGCACAGCGGGCATGGCATAAATGTCATGCCATTGCATTATGTCTATTGGCTGTGTGTCATGTTAAAACAGAAGTCTTTTCCTTTTTTTTATTTTTTTTTTGTGTGCCTCGGGGTTGAGCACACTTTGAGCACACTCCATCTGCATAGGGCATGTGACTTTGGATTTTATAAAAAAGTGCCAAAATTAGCCATTGCGTTTTGTGAATGCCCAGTTGCGTCAGGAAGCTGATCTGAGTGGCAAATTGCTACTTAACCCACGTCCTGGCTGTCATTTCTTAAATGCATGTTTTGGTTCTGATAACCTTGTCATGCTTGAAGTTTAAAAGACTTGTAATTTCAGAAGGCCTAACTTCAAGACCAGTTTTTGCTCTTTACTAAATTACAGGGTTATTTTACTTTCCTATGCATGTATTTTAATTCGATGTGAATGAGCAATGTTTAAGGCGACTGTTATATTTTCCCCCAAGTATTTGACCCGTTTCCTCCACCCCTTTCCCTTTTTTTTTTTTTTTTTTTTATTACAGGCACCCGTTTCCTCCCCCCCTTTCCCTTTTTTTTTTTTTTTTTTTTATTACAGAAAATAGCAGAGAAGTCCAAAGCTTTGCTTCCCACAGGGCAGAGAAGCAGTAAACAGGTAGGTGTGTGCATTCAACCTTTGGAGCAGCACATATGAAGAAGGCAGTCTCTCATCCCCTTACTGATGCTGAACGGCGCCTTATTCCCCCAAAAGCCCTCTCATTGAAATCCAAGAGATCGTGCTGTTTGTGTGCCGTTGGGAAGCATGCAGCGCCCTTGGCAGATGGCAACGTTCACAGACTCCTAAAAATAGACACGTAGAAGACGCGCCAGGTTATCTTGTTCATTCCCCTGCCGACACCGAGCAGCTCCTCACTGCCTGCTTTCGACTTGCCTGTCCACTCCAGAGCGTCTCCAGGAATGTTTTCATCCCCATCCCTGTCCCTCGGCCCTTCCTTAGGTTATTTTACAGTCTAATCAATTGGCCGCATACCTGACACTGAATCTCAGACCTCTAAGGGGTAGTCACTCGATCCTCGTTATGTAGCCACGATCCTTACTGCTTTATATTAGTACACATGCACAAAAAGAGCCTGCCCCCAGCTCTAGGAGCTTTGATACCATATTAAACGTTTAGCACCTGGCAAAGTAGGCTGTGGCCTACGAAAGCTTGTGCCTCTTTGAATGACCAGGTTTATAAAGCGCCATCCAGCCCTGCCTCCTGCTTAAACATAATGCACTAAAAATAACAAAATCATGGCAGATCCCAAGGAATGTCCCTGATGCTAGGAGCTCAATCCATCCTTTGTATAACTTCATTAGCCTCATTAAAAGATTAACCAGGCCCTCAGATCCTACATGGCAGCATTCAAAATAGGACTTATAATTGATATTGGATGACAGAAGCACTGAACTGCACTCTTAGCATCAGCATGTATATTTGAAAATGGTAACCTACATTTTCCTTTTCCGGGCTCTTAGGAAAGATCCTGGTATGCTTGTGAATCCCTGTGTCTTCACTAATCTACATCTCTTGAGATTTGGCCCTACCTGTGTCCTAACTGTTTGTTACACCGATGGCATCGGTGCTTCTCATTAAGAAGTTCTTGTTCGGGCATTAGCGTGAAGTCGCGAACGGCCCTGCAAATAAGGCAGAAAGCGAAAATGTGGGCCAGAAATCTGTTTTAATTGTCAGGATTTAAATTATTAAGACTCAGTGTCTGACTTCATCATGACTTATTTCGTGTCGGGGTACTTCTTTAATACCAACTCAAGTTGCCTCATTAAATGTTTGCATTGGTGGCCTGGAGCTTGCAGAGGATCTACTGTATTTACTCGATTGTAAGATGAGGTTTTTTTTCCCCCCATTTAACATGGGAGGGAGAAGTCCCTTGCCTTAGAAATTAGCACGGGGGAGTCTGGGGACAGGTGGCTGCTGTGGCTTGGGCTCCAGCCCCTATTCGGGGTTGGGGCCATAGCAGCAGCTGTTGCTTCCCCCTGCACTCTGCTGGGCCCATCTCCCACCTGCAACCTCTTCTCCGTCCTCCTTCCCATCCTCTCCCCCCGTTACCTTTTACTTTGTGCTAGCAGACTTAATCTACGCTGCATCCTAAGGCACTGAATACAGTCCCAGCCTGTCCCCATAGCAGTGGTCTGCAGCCTGCACTGCTGCTATGAGGACTGGGGTGAGGCCCTGCTCAGTGCCCTGGGCTAGAGTGGGGACAGTCTGCTGGCACGGATCAAGGGAAATGGCAAGGGGTGAGGGGGGATGTGGGTAGCAGCGGCTGGGCTGCAGGGAGGGGAAAGGGAGAGCAGAGGCGGGGGGGAGGAAGGAGTGGGAGCAGAGGCTTGGGGGGGCATCAGGGGGAAGAAGTGGCAGGGGACAGGCACAAGCCAGGAGCAAGCTGCTTGACCTCCCCTGTAGCAGTGGGGAGGATGAATTGAAGACAGTCCTCCAATAATATAATTAAATACAAGGACAATTATAATAAATTTATAAATTGTCCATGTATAGAATCTAATTGTCAGCAGGTCCTCTTGAATTCAAGGTTGTCTTAGATTTGAATAAATACGGCAGGCTACTGTTGCTGTTCGGGAAGATGGTTGTTTCTGTGTGCTGCATTTTTCCCTCCTTATTCCCCAACAAGTGGTGGTAGATAATGAATGATTATTCTTGGCCACAGATGGCGTATTCCTATATGTTATTTAGCCAGATTCTGATCACACTGAAGTCAGTGCACAAACTTCCAGCATTGTCATTAGGCAACCAGATTGATTCACTGTGACTCTAGATGGGGCATGCAAGGTCCTGATTTAAAAAGTTGGCCAGATCTCTCACAGATGATCATAGCCGGAGGATGTAGGAGGAGGAATTTGTTTAGGAACAAGTAATACTGTAGGAATAAATTAAATATTAAAGGAACGCATCTTATAGGAATACATTTTAAATTGTCATAATTAAACCATAATGGAATTCCAAGGGAAGGAGGGACGATACGGAGACCAGAAGAGTCTACCTAGTTTGCATTGCCCTGAGAAAATGAAAAAGAAAACAGTGTTTAACATGTTTTTAACCTGTTGTGTTAGGCAATGAATAGCCATTGGAATGGAGTATACATGATCAGGAATTTTCTCCCACTACTTTTTTGGTTTGTTTTATTGGAAAGCATTGATTGTAAAGCTCAAAACTTTTCATGAGAATGCATCAGCTTTGACAGAGTATTTGCTGGGAAAGGGGACTCAAATCCAGGCTAGAGTTCATGTTCAAAATAGAAGTGCATGTGTTGTGTTACACACAACTTTAAAGTTGCTAATATGCTGGTGGTCAGGGCACTTCCCTGGTCCAAATACCTTATCCGGTTCTTATAGAGCTGGAAGGCACAGAACCAATTTTTCTGTAGCTGCAGCTTGCTTTTCTTCACATTTTATATATGTAAGCTTAATGTTAGTGACTTCTTTCTTCTCTGCATATGACAGGTGGTATTAAAATCTCTTCTTTGTTTGCATGACCTTGAGATAACACAAATGATCATGTGCTCATCTTTGGTGCCTGCAATACGGATGCCCATGTGCAAATGGAGATAAACTTGTGTGTTTGCTTTTGCAATCCCTGATGTACATGTTCACACCTGGTGCATGTAGATTTTAGTGTGCACTAAATGAACAATTTGAGCATCAACATACAGGAGTTTAAATGTCTTTGTGCATATCTGGGTCTGCCAATGCTCCTGCTGTGATGTAAACCCAGAGGTCCTGGCTAGAGGGTCTTGCACCTCTGCTCAGGGTTAACCAATTGCCAGATTTGGGGTCAAGAGGGGTTTTTACCCCACGGTCAGGTTGGTACAGCTTGTGGGAGTTTTTTGCTTTTTTTCTGTAGTGGGGGAATATGGTCCTTTTTCTGGGATCTCTTGAGCATATTTTTAACAGCCTTTGCACCGGCAGGACGTTGGTCGCTGTGGTTCCCCTGCTTTACCTGCGGCAAGTTAGGGCGTTATGTCTTGTGTTGTCAGGGTTGATTGTGTAGCTTTGCTAAGGGATTAGCCCAGTGCTTCTCAACCTTTTTAGATTCCAGGCACCCCTAGATAGACTCATGACACTCCTCAGGAAACATCAGCTCTTAGTTCGCACGCTCTTGTTTTTTTCTTGTCGGCAGAAAAAATAATGGAGTCGTTTTTTATTGCAAAGAACTGAGAAAGACCACAAGTATTGATTCCTGCTTGAAATCTTTCAGTTTATCTTATGAACCATGTTTGTATGCTAACAATGCTGATGCTACATAGCAGCCTGTGGCACCCTTGAAAAGACCTCAAGGCTCTCCTTGGTGCCCTGGCTGAGGATCCCTGGGTTAGACGACGGGTTTGTATAGGATGGTTTGGATGGGATCCTGTTTCAGGCAGGAGTTTGTACTGGATGGCCTCTTGTGGTCCCTTCCAGCCTCCTTTTTCTATAATGCTGTGTTTGCATTGGCCATCTACCAGCACACGTTTGTTTTCTTCCTCCATAGAATATAATGAGAAATTAAAAAAATACGGAGTTTGCTGTGGTTAATGTAATCTTGGGATTGATTCCCCCCCCCCATGTGCACAGTGGACAAGAATTGAAAGTTATAGCTTCCCACGGCAACTTTAACTATTCCATATTGCACATTTATTAAGGCATTCAAGTCAGCACCCTGTACAGTAATACAAAATGCTGCACATATTCAGAGGAGCTGATTTATAGTGGCTGCGAGAACTGCAACGTGAATATCCTCGATCCTGGTACAGGTTAAAACAGAATCAGGATGCTGGCACAAGGTTTATTTTATTTAATCATCAGGTAATTATAGCACGTGTAAACGGTGATGAATTTCCTGTATATAGTCTCCTTCATATTTTCTCTTGGAAAGTTGTTTTCCTTCAGTAACATAAAGTTCGATTACTTTGAGGAATTAACTAATTCCCCCATGATCCCTGGGTTCAGATGAACAATCACACGCACAATTATGCAAACCGGCCAGTTGTTCCCCAGTTTGATTTTTCAGAAAAAGGGATTGAGGATCAGCACGCTGAATATGAGCCAACAATGTGCAGTTGTCGGGGAGGTGGGGGAGAGGTAATACAGTCCAATCGATGTATGGGGGCCTTATTTGGCAAGCAGAAAGTAGTCCAATCTGCGGCATGTGTAATTAAACCTTCTACACTTTGTCTCCTAACTCAACCTCTCTCAGTGCAGGACTATTAGTAGCCATAAAATCAGTAAGGTCCTGCCAATTGCAAGGCTGATGTTGGAGAAGAGGCATTCTGCTTAACAAAGTAAGCAACCTCAATGAGGTGTGAACAGCTGAGAAGAAGCTGATGGGACTCTCAGAGGAACATGATGACAACTATTAATGAGGTGTGGAAATCTGAGAGAGTTTGTTTCTAGATGCATTTGCATCTCCCTACATGACAATCCTATTCAGGCAAATGACTGGTGGTGTTTTCATGATTTATAGGACTTGCTGCATTACCTGCATACTGGGAGGTATTACCAGGTGTGCCACAAGAAGCAATTCTTCATCACTTTTCAGTATTGGTGAGAGTGCATCTTGGCATGCTTTATCCAGATTAGGGTACTGCACTTCACGAAAAAGGTGGA